GGCAGCTTGGCCATGTCAACCACAAACCCGAGAAGGGGTTAATGTGAGCACTGGACACTGGTGCTGCCTAGAACACACTGAAGCCAGAGAACCCTGAGCAGCCATGCCTTGAAACTGCAGCGCAAAAAGCCCCTCTCCGGCCTGCATCACCTCTCCCCCATTCCCACCTCCCAGCCCCACAGGAGCTGCCTTCTCTCCAGGCTCTGGGTCACTGGGGCCGAGGGCACTGCCAGCAGCATCCAACATCTCCCTACCATGCTGAGATTCCTTGGCCAGGTCCGCGGGCTACACACAAACCTGGCTTTTTCAAGCGGTAAAAGGATTTGCAACTGGATTCCTGGATTTCCAACTCCCCACAGCTATGAGGAAAAGAAACAGTGCGCGACGCAACGCACGCAGCGGAGGCTGCCGGCTGGGAGCCTCTTACAGAGGAGCACGGAGCGATTAGCAGGATCGCGCAAGGCTAACGACAAGGCAGCCGGCTCTTCCGGACCTCCCTCCGAGACCACCCGGCTGCCGGGAGAGCCCCGAGCGCAGCAAACAGGACGGGGAGACGCACCAGGGCCAAGTGAGCAACTTACTTCTACTTCCCAGGTCCTTCTATAAACGCTACCAAATGCTCCACAGGCCAGCCTATACCATCTGCACACTCGCTTCCCAGGTCTGTCTGGGAAAACACCTAAAATCCACTTACTCCTGGAAACAGTCCCACTAACCTGACCAAGGGATTCGATGGGCCCAGGTAACCCAGGGGAGTTCTTGGGAGCACTCGTGGGACTCCGTTCCCTATGGCTTGCTTAGGGAAGGGACACACACCACTCGGGGCTGCAGCACTTGAACACTGCTCGCTACACAGTGTTTAGGATACGGTGCCACAAACATTAGACTCTCAACATTCATAGGGGCTGCTACGATCCCACCACCCCTCCCATGGTCCCTACAAAAACACAGTGCGCAAACTCAGGGAGGAATCCAGCCAAAACTAACCCTGAGGAAAACCGACAACAAATAAAAACAAATCCACATCCTGATCCCAGCACTGAGGGGAAAGGGCAGGGTGTGAGCAGGGAGACAGGGGCAAGCAGCAGTGCCCTGCACACATCTCCCCACCAGCAGCAGGGGGATGGACCCCGGGCATGCAGGCAGCATGGGTGAGGAGCCAGGTCAGCAAAATGCATTCCTACAAGTTAAAGCAAGCCCAGGGCAGCCACAGCTCCGCGCGACGAGGCTGGAGCCCCTCAGGACACGTCACAGGACAGGCGCTCGCCGCCAGCAAGAGTTTGTAGGGGATGACAGAAGTGCTGCGAGGAAGTGCAGACACAGCACTACTGATCATGAATTTATAAAGCAAGTGAAACCCTGAGAGCAGACAGACTGAAAATCCTTGACCTTGTATCAGTGTTCCTACGCAGTGACGGCTCCAGAGACAGCAGAGCTCATGCAGAGCAAGAAGTAGAGCTAAATGTTTTATTAGAGCTGGAGACCATCCTATCGCTGAACTTACTCTGGTCTTAGCTCACCACAGACCCCCAGTGTGAACCTCATCTCACACGACTCCATATTTAACAAATACAAAGCCACTTCTTTGCTAATTCAGCCTGAAAGTACTCTCAGTGTTACTTAGCATAAACGAAGCTGACATATGGCAGCCCTCAAAGCTAGTGACATTTAATTCCTTAAGACTCACAAGCATTCCCAACACCACAGGCGAGGTAAAGGATTGCACAGCACTCCTGAGCAGGCAACCTGCACCAGGCCCAGAGCTCAAGCCACAAGCCCTAGGATGGGCCTGCAACCAAGCGACCCTTGAGAGTCTGAAGCTCGCCCAACCCCAGCCAGATCAGCCACCTGGGAGGACCCGGCTTTGCTTCCCCAGGAGCTGAACATCGTCAGCCCCCAAGCTCTGCAGCAGGAGAGGTGCAGCCCCACATTCCTGCAATTTGCATTTGTTCCAATAGAGACAACCTTGCTGATGAGTCAAAAAGCTACTTAGAGCCCTGCATGTGTGACTGCTGGGACTAATACCAAGACGATTAGAGAAATCAATTGCAGCTTCCTGGGAAGGGATGAAAACTGCCTCCTGTTACTAGGGATTAAAAACAGATCCTAACCAAAAAGCGCAGCTGCACACACAGCCCTTACGGCCTCCACCAGCTACCAGTGCAAACAAATGGAAAGCTCCCTTCTCAAACACCAGAACAAGCGAGCGGTTTCTCTCACTGCTTCAGGCTGGTACCACCACCTATCTTTTGCGGGAGGCAGCATAGCCATCAGCATGAGTCTGTTAAAAAGCTGTTCCTTGATTTACACAACTCTCCCCTCGTATTTCCACTCTGGCCAGAAATGACTATCGCAACTTTAGCAACTCAGCACCACATTGTGGGAAACAAATCTACTCTTACCATTCACCCACCCTGCTGAGCTTTGCTATCTTTAATAGGGACCAGGCAGTCTTCAAACCTGAGCACCCAGACCTCAGGCTTAGCCAGGAAAATCTAATGAGTCAGAGGAGAAACTTTTGTCCTCAAAGAAGCTAATCACTCTGCAATGGGACCTTCCGGCATTCCAGTGGTGAAAAAGCCGCAATATAATTCCTCAGCTTGTGCTGATCAAGAATTAGTCATTCAACTTTTGAAGGAGGAGGAGGACAATCTGCAAAGCTATGCCACAACTTAATGAAGCCGACTTCACAGCATTCTTCCTCCTACCCAGCTCCAGGAGACACAGCGCAAAGTTAACTTCGTGTTTCAACCCCGAAAGCGCCTGCACGGGCACTGCTCTTAGCCCTCCCGCAACGCCACCACCGTACCCGGCGGCTGCGGCACTCGAGCCACAGCCGCGTCTCTGACGGATGCTGTGTCAGGCACCACGGATATCACAAGTGAAAGCCACATGCTTTGGAGCTGGAAAGCAAGGGGAGGAAACCAAGTCTCCAGCATGTGCATCGCTCTCTTGTAATACCAAACAGATCTCCAAGCTGCTCAAAATTACCAGCACAGGCTGGTAATACTGCCAAAACAAGAAATTGTGCCCTCTCCCTCCCCCTCAAGTGTTTGTGCATGTATGAGAAGAACCACATTACGGAACTGAGAACAAACCCTGCAGAAAATGATTATTCCTTAGATGGATCAGTTCCCTCACTCAAACAAAGGCTCATTCCCATACACGCAAAGAAGTAGGAGCAGAGACAGCAGAGATGCCCCTTCTGCATCTACACGGAACTAAAGGGACTGCAGAACAGACAAAAATCCTCCTTTGCTTGCATCTCATCTGCAAAGTGCCTTCACTATATGACCCTACACTGCCTAGTTCCCTGCACACACAATTTATCTTTGCTACTCCAAGGAAAAAGGGGGGGAAAAAAGCCGTATATTTCGGTGTCATCCTGAAATGTGAAAACACTACCCAGGCCATCTCACCCCAGGGAGAAAAGGGATATGATCCTGCACTGACTTCAGCCATCACTTTAGATTAATGCTGCTGTGCTGGGAGGAGCGAATCAAGCCCAAAGTCTGCCAAAACAGACAAATCAAACACGCTGCGATCAGCACTGCCGCAGCCGGCACCGACACCAGGCAGAGCAGTAGAAAAGCCTTAGAATAACGGGAATAAGGCAGGCAAAAGTATTTCATTTGGGTTAATAAAAAAAAAATGGGGGGGAGGGGGGGGATGAGTTTTGAGCCCTGTAAGTTGCTTTGGAAGCCAGGTCGCCTTTTAGAAAATGCTCGAGTTGCACAGAACGGAGCAAACGTGCTTTGAATGGAATAAAGCACGTGATACCTAGGGACTATTTTTTATTATTATTTATTTTCCTGCTTTCTCCTCTCCTCAGTGGAAACCCAACAGAAGGGGGAGCAGACACTCCGCCCTCCTCCTCCCCACACCGGCCCCGCG